TTTGACCCCAAAAGAACATGTTTGCCAAACCTGGGCAACTTAAAGTTGGGTGGCTTCAACCCCCCAGAATCCCCAGCCCAGCCTTGCTGGCTGGAGAATTCTGGGAGTTGAAGTCCACTCATCTTAAAGTGGCCAAGTTTGGACAACACTGCCCATAGAACAACATCTGGTTACCCACATGTGAGGAGTCTCAGTAAGGATGAAACTGATCACATGGTCCCTGCTGGTGGACAATATAACTGAAAAATACCACACAGGACAATTCTACACCACCCTGCTGCTTTCAGATACCAACCCTGCTGCAAGTTATAATGCTGTCAGGTTTTGTGCAGCAGCACTCAAAATTTGTCAAAAGATGACTTGTGCTATAAGCTAGATTTAATGAGCACCTAGTTCACCATATTACAGTGCTTAGTAACTTTATCAAGTTACAAAGCACTATAATATGGTGAACTAGGTGCTCATTAAATATAGCCTTCCACATGCAATCTTTTATGCTCCTCTATACCCATCTAATGCTCCTACCCCTTCTTTTAGACTCTTTTAGGTTCTCGCTTTTAATATATACTTTTAGTTTTTAATTCGTATCTCTTTTATATCTTCTAGCTTTTCATAATTTTTTTTGGATTTAGATGTTTATTTTTACTTGAGGTATCCTTTATGCCTTTTTAAGGACTCTTCTCCACCTTCCTTATGTTGGTCTATGACTGTAATAAAGATTTGATTTGATCTGATACAGGATATATACTGTGTAAAAAAAAATAGAAAAACCCAAGAGGTGGGAATAGAAGTCATATATCATGTACACGGGAACGTGGCGTAATTAAATATCTGTAACTCTGCTCTGAGAGTTTAGGGGAAGGTGGACTGTATACACCTTTCTGATAGCTCCTATATTAGTCGAGAGCCTTGGCCATATGTTGTCATTTGGATTATCACATCTGGGAACGTAGGAGTGGACTACTTCACAGGCATACAATGCAGATTTAGCGAAGGCTACAGACCAAAAAAAAAAGCTAATTCAAAGATCAACTGGGAATCTTGAAAAGAGAGGTTGGGGGGAACGAAGGCCTTTTTATCTCTCTCTCCACTTGGAGCCAAAAGCTAATAAAAACAGAATTTGCAGGAAAGTTTGCCATTGATTTCACAGGAGCAGGAACAGTGACCAGTAACAGCTTTCTGCTTCAGAAATCAGAAGAGGAAAAAGAACATTAAACCACAGGAGGTGCGGTTGTTGCTTGATTTCACTGCGGGAGACTTACTCGATAGTTGGAATGGGCCCGATTGTTATAGAACAAGCCCATTGGGAGGTGCTCTGAATAGCCAGGCGGGTACATTCCGACCGAAAGTCCTGTTGGTACATGATGTAAAACAAACCAAAAACCCGTTTCCTGCAAAGGAAATCACAACAGTTTCAGACTCAGATGGAATTGGGTTACTTGAGGTATTAAAAACAAGGAAAATCTAATTACTTCTAGATACAGAATGACCATATGTGAGAGCCAGTATGAAGTAGTGGTTAAAATGTTGGACTAGGAGCAGGGAGAGCCATGTTCTGATCCTCCCTTTGGCATGGAAACTGGGGAGGACACACTAACTTTTCTGGCATCTGCGACAAAAATTAGAGTGAAAAATTGCTCCCCCCTGAAAGAGAAATGTACTTAGGCCTACAAGTATATGAAACTACTTTTTTCAGCATCAGAAATATTGGTTTTTCAACTGCAGGAATGTGCTAGAGCTAGTTAGGAGGCAAAAGTCTTCCGCATGTAACGGATTAAAGTCTTATCAACTTCAGGCAGCAGGGCAAGTGGCTGGGAGTGCTAATCAACTAATTAAGGTCACAGAGCTGAGCTTGTTAACTTGTGGTTAGCAGTGAATTAGGGTAGTGCTGCCCTGGGGAAGCTGTTCAGGAAGAGATACTCCAAAAGCTGGACAATATTTGATTTTAAGGCTATGCCTGCTGGACGGAGGACATGAGGACAAAAATGAGGACACATCCTCCTTTTCCAGCCATCCAGTAACCCTAAAGCTGGGTGACTTTGGGCCAGTCCCTCTCTTAACCCAGTGGTGTAGTGGCTAAGATGCAGGATTAGGAACAGGAAAAGCCAAGTTCTAGTCCTCTCTTAGGCACAGAAGCTAATGAGACAACCTTGGGCAAGTCGCTCCCTCTTAGTTCAAATCAGCACCAGGCTGTACAACTACAGTAGGTGGATGAAATATAAAATTCCTTGTGGCATCCTTCTCTAAGAGCTTCATTACGAACTGCATGGAGTGCAGTGCAAAACAAGCAACTGATTGGGACAAATGCTAAGAACAATAACAAGAGTTGGGAAGAGCTAGCGCAGTGTGGCACAGCATCCCCCAACCTGGTGCCCTCTCCTAATGCGTAGGCCATGTTGGCTAGAAACTGGAATGGAAGTTCAATAAATCTGGATGGTATCAGGTAGCAGATCCAGTTAGTTATGCTAAGTTGACGGCGCAGTGCTTCGTTGTCTCTTAGCATAACCTACTTTACAGGATTGTTGCAAGTATAAAAGAATGGATGAAGGTGGCCCTAAGTTCCACACCGAGCAAAACCAAATAATCAGCACCTGAGAAATAATCCAACTAGATTAACTGTTACATTAAGTGCTCCTTTAGGAAATATCCCAGTCCAATCAGGATATGGACCATTCACAGGTAATTCCCCCCAACACCTCCTATCATTATGACAGTCTCTGAAAGCTTCCCGGGTACGGCCAGATTTCTTCCTGGCTGATATAAACTGCGGCCGAAAACCTGCTGTAAGAATTTTTTTAAAGTTTCGTAACGCTAATGAAGCATTTCTTTCAGTTTGCAGCAAATTTTCTTAGCTGGAAAGCCAAGTTTGCTAATCCTGTGCCATGCTAGGATGGAAGAGACCTACTAATGTATGTGTCAGCTCTCCAAAGTAGACTGTGAGAAGAAAGCTAAAATTACTTGGATTGAGAAGGGCTATAATTACAGAGTCTTGCAAGTCTGATTGTGCTGGACCTCTTCCTCTTTCTTATACCCCAGTAAATTAAAGAGACATCTGTTTAAGCCGTTTCCAAATGTTATCTTGTTGCTCTGGAGCTAAAAAATGTTCACCCCATTTTGGTAATGGCTCTTGCATATTTCCACCAAGGTCATCTTCCTTACTCTGTACGCGTGCTACAAGAAATGATTAAAGCTTCCTAGGAGATCAAAGCCCACACTCCATGAAGAAGGTTGCCTGCATGATATAGTGTTCAGCGCCTGCTTCCTTTCTGTCCCCTCTACAAGGGCAGGAAATTGTGCCCTCTTTTTGCACACTATTCCATCCTCTCCCTGGCAGAGTTGTGCATGAGAACTCCTGTCCGCTACTCAGTGAATTGCAGTTTCAGGCTCGCCTCTCCTACATGCGTCCTCAAATAACAAAAGTGTTATGTAAAAAGAACATAAAAGGAGCGCCTTTGAAGCGTGTTATTCTCCCACTCTCTCTTGGATCCTTTAATCGCTCATGATGAAACAAAGATTCAGTAAGATCAGCTGCTTTGGGGAAGCGCTTGGTTACCATTATGCATAAATCACTGCTCCAGACTCTCAGTTGGAAAGTGTTGCTCAAAAGACTGATGCGCACAGAAACATGTTTGCAGAATAATTTTCAGGAAGTATATTGTAGTTCTTCCACACCCTAAAAATAACACTTTTTATATGTGTTTAGAGTGCGATCAATTTTAATTTCAGAATGGGCTGGTCTCTCGCAGTTGCTTAAGAAACAAGAGGGTTATTTTACACAGATGATTTGCAGACTGGCTGATGGGTTAGTAAGGTTTTGTTTCCAACCCAAGTTGGAATAAGGAAGTGTATCCCGCAAAGCACCCCCGAATGGCAAAGCCACTTTTGTTCCAATCAGAAGACTTTTGCCCCGAGAGCAAAAAACATCATACTCACTTCAGATCCTGCAGCTGCGCAGTTTAGGAGGTTATTGTGTGGGTTTGCCAGCCAGAAAGTGGACACAGCGCTGTTGGATGAGAAACCCAAACATGAGAAAGCGAAACCCAAACACCCTCCCAATGCCAGGCCTGCAGAGGAGATGGATTTTTCTTGATCCCAGCCAAGCCGGGCCAAATAACTTGGTGGAAGACAGTGTAATGACTGGCTGGCGTCTCTCTCCGCCCCTCCCCACTCCTACTGGTGCCCCATTTCCTTCATTTCACCCTTGTCAATACAAGGGAAAGATCTCAACCCAGGTTTGAAAGGCTGCTGGAATTTCAGGACAAATTTTGAGTGAAGTTGCAAGATAGCTACGAAGCTGTAAAAGGCCATTTCTGTTTTATGAGTGTGTCTTTCTGCAAAACACGGAAAAGGAATGTGTAGGTCAGTGGGCTTAAGTGGGAACGCAACTGTTCCTTCCGGCTTTTCGCCACATCTGGAATTTCAAGACTCTTCCAGATGCTTAATTTCTTTTATCATTCTTGGGTCTTTCTCTTCCTTATCATTGCTCACTTTTATCTGTCAAGCACTTTGGTTTTTATCCTCCACTAGCAGAATAAAAGTTTTGTGGAGTTTTGTAGAGTATAGCCCCATTCTAGACATGCTGCACTGCTCCTCTGGGTGGGACTGCAATATTGATTTTAATTTGGTTTGTACTTGGAATGGTAAATAATATATTACAGCATGTATCACTTTTTGTCCAAGCTTCTTTTTGGGGCAAATTTTATTTACTTATTTAATTTATAGGCTGCCCAACTCCATCGCAATAATGCATTATTTGATTCAAATCTCTTTTTTTTCTTTCCCCGCATGAAACAGCAAGTTGCTAGTCTTCGAGAATGACCATCTTTCATGGAGTAGTCCCACGTCTACCCCTATTTTGATGCCTTGTGTTTCAAAATCAATCACAGAAGGACAAAGCACAAGGATATACCCTTAAAACTGAAAGGAGGAGAATATGCCAGGGCCATCTGCATTATTAAGGTAACAATAGATCTGGGGGGCCCAAGCAAGACAGAAAAGTTCCTGTTGGCATTTTCTATGGAAGAAGATCCAGGATAAGCAGAAGGACTATTTTCCTTGACCCAGGTGGGCTGTGCATTTAGGAACTGTATGATGTATACATGGAATTTTATCCAATTCAATCTATGCCTACAAGTGATGAATGTGTGATACTCCGTCAAGAAAGGGAATGGAAAATATGAATGAAAAGCAAAATCTTTGTCTGAAATAATGGCCAGGCCTCTTGTTTCTCAGGCATTTAAAAGGGAAAGATGAATTAAGTGTGTACTTCTATTATCCCACTTGAGAGCAAAAGCATTTAAATGTTTTTAATTTGGTCTGGCTTTTCTCATGGAAAATGCTTTTTTGGAACCACACGTTCAGGTGACTATTTCATGAAAGTAAGACAACAGACATTTAATTTGCTTACACATCCTCCTTGTATGTTGAACAAGCCATGCAAAATTCTGTAAGCCAGAGATCATTAAAACATAGAAGGTTATTTCCCTACTCACTTGCAGTCCTGTCTAGGTTTTGGGACATATCCTGGATAAGCTTCTTCAGTAATGGTCTTGCACATTCTTGTGTCCCGATCGGATGGTAGCAAGGTGCCTGGTTTCACCACAAGTCCAAGGCAGTGATCAAACGTATTACGCACCTCAGGCCCATCTTCAGTAAAGAAACAATGACCCAACGAGTCATACCCAACCACATCCTTGATCTGGGGGGACAGAAACAGCAACAGCAAGAAGATGGATCAATGTGAGTGCCATCCCCTTGGATGCTCCCATACAAGCCTTCATCTCAACAACAGTGTGAAGTGCACAGCTTCAGGAAGACTCAGCTTCCAACAACCCACCACATAGAACAAGAGCTTCAGTTCCAAAAAGAACTTGCTTTGCACAACATTGGAAAAGAGACATAGTACCAAGATATCTGATTTGGAACTAAAACCTGGAGAATAGGGAGCCATGGCAAAACTAACCGTAGATGTACAGAATAGAAGTTTAATTTAAGCAAGAATGATTCCTACATATCACACAGCAAGACACACACATCTCAATTTTTTTTCCTTGTTATTGTTTCTTGTTATTTGTTATTGATATTATCTCTTCTAGAATATTTGTTATTAATAAATAATGATAAAAAAGAACTTGCAATATGCAAGAACAGGACAACCTTGTTGTGGCAAGAATTGCTGCATTCCTTTTTTTTTTTTCTTTTTTCAGCTTCCAAGGACCAACTTTCTGCTGATGTAACTGGAGGGAAGACAGCCAAACTTTTTATCGCTCAGGGGCTCTGGGGGATTTGTAGGGAGGTTAAAGTAAAACAAGTGCATTAAATCTAATGGAGGCTTAACACATCTGCTTGGCTTGTTATTTTTAGATGCACACAGAAAACCTTGCTCAAAACATACTATCCACTTTCTATATTTTATATTTTGGCAGCACAACTCCAGAGCTCCCCTGTCTTATGCTAAGGATGATCCAAGATTAGACATTTATTGTGCCATGCCTGGATCGTGTTGTACCATTATGCTACATTGCTTCAACCATTTGCAATGATTTTTTCCCTTGCTGCCTTTTATATACCTTCTTTCTTGCCACATAAATAAATAAGTAATAAATAATCCATCCAGGAAGGAAAATTGCAGCGAGAACACATAGTCACATAGTGTAATGCTCTGGGTAGCTTTTTCCTCACACTCTTGATGACTGTCCATTATTCCTAATGGAATATATCTGTTAGAGGACATTTGTGACATTCAGAATGTATGGTTCCTCAAAGCTTCATTGAAGATGTTCCTTCGATCCTGCTCTTATATCAAAGTGGTTGCGTTAATCTTGAAACTTTCACATGAATCTCTACGGTTGGTGAACTGCTAGTAAAGGAATTCAGTTCCTTTAATTCATAAAGGATTTAAAACTTTGCAATACTTTTTGCTCACTCTTCTTGCTGGATCTGAAGCACATCTTATACCTCAATTGCCTTAATAGTTATTCTCCTTTCCCTCAGGTCCCTGGGAACTGTCTCTTGGTTGCACAAGCACAGAATGTCCATTCTAAGGAAAAGATACCTCCTCCCTCATTCTTGCAGTGGCAAGAACGGAAAGCAAGTATGTAGAGAAGGCTTTTCCTTCACCAATATAAGATATCATGTGCTCGATTATAGCTATAAAACAGGATCAGGATACCGGCTTTAATTCACTTCTAACTCCTCCCCCCTTTCCCTCCAGTCCTTCAAGCATCATGTGCCTGAAAGATGACATGGCTTTAAATCAAAGAATGTATAAATGTGCAATGCCTAAAATTCAGCCAAAGGAACGGGATGGCCTTTTCTCCCATTAAAGCAAGAGTCATGAATTAAAGATGGAATTACCAGTACAGATGCAATAATTGCCACAGTTGGTCAGCACTGAAATGCATCTGGAGTCTTCCTTTTGGCAGGCGGTTTGCCAGGCTCCATTTAATTTTACACCCAGTGATAGCTTCTACTACGTATATAGAGCATATCAATGGTTTCTGGCTGAACGTGCAGCTCCGCGGCCATAAATATCAACATCGCTCCCCATAACTCAGGGCCAGAATGTTAAGAAGGCAGATTTAGCAAGGGCGCCTGCAGCCACAGTCTTTAGGAAGGTAATGAGGAGAGCAGAAACTCAATGCACTTTGAAATCCCAATTACAAACAGAGCAACATTTTACATTTTAACTGGTACAGATGGCAGGCAGTCCAGGCTGATTTACTTGCCTGCCCTGGGTAAGGGGTTCAGTTATGTACGGTATTTTGCACACCAGATAAGCTGCCCCATTAGCAGTATTTGCTGCCTGAACAGACAATCCAGGTAGTTAAAGACTAGCTGAAAGAAAAGCCTTCTTCAGACCAAAAGGCTGTTCCTTGCTGGTACAGCTCTGCTTTCACCAATATTTTAATAGGAGGGTTGTGGTTTGGTGCTGTAGATCCAGAATTTGGCCCCCAGTATCTACAAGTATGGGTGGAAAAACTGGACATTGCTGCCAGTAGTATTAACCATATTGACCTAGATGAACATGTAGGCTGACCCAATACAAGACAAATTCCTATATTGGAGAGTAGCCTTGTTCTTTCAGTGGACTAGATGCTCCCCAAAACAGTTGCAGTTCTCTGCATACAGATGTGCAATTCCTTGCAAGCTAACCTGAAAGTCAGCCCATCTGAATTTGCCTAAGCTCCCTCCCAAATCAGTGTACTGTACATAGGTCTGCAGCCTTCATCTTGATGCTAGCTAGTGTCTAGGACTCATATACAAGCCACCTGAAAGATGTATTTTTCAACGTATGTTATTTAAGCAATTTATATGGCCATCCACCTTCCTGCAGTAACTCTGGGCAGCGAACAGTGGCAAACCAAAAACCACAGCAATCCAAAAGGATCAAAAACAACTGGAATAACAATGAACATACAGTGCTCTAGAAGTCCAAATAAAACTCTTCCAGTTTACAAATGGACTGACAGCAAGCAACTAACCAACAGAGCTGACCTAACCAGGTGCTGTCAGGACTTGAGGGAATCTAAACGTAGAATACAACACGGCTCTATTAAAGCAGGTTTACACAGTGGGCAGTTACGTCTGGAGCTCTGTTTGGAAGCACATGAAATCAACCAGAAAAAAAGACGAAGGTCAAGTGGTGGAGTAAGAAGCCTCTTGAGGAGCTAGAAGAAGAGTGGGGAATGGTCCCATCATGGCTGGCATGAGAGCCTAGAACAGGGTTTCTCAACCTTATCAACTTTAAGATGTGTGGACTTCAACTCCCAGAATTCCTCAGCCAGTCAAACAAACTAAGCAGGATTCAGCCTAGCTTGTACTTCAATGGGCAACCATTGGGAAGGTTTTAGGCTGGACTGGAATTTTTTTTTTAAATCCTGGGGAAAAGCAATGTCAGATTACTCTAGTATTGTTACCAAGAAACCAATACCATTACTTTGGGCCAGGCATTCTCTCTCAGCCCAGCCCACCTCACAGAGTGGTTATTGTGGGGAAAATAGGAGGAGGAAGGAGTATTAGGTATGCTTGTTGCCTTGAGTTACTTTAAAGTAATAAAAGCAGGATTAAAAAATCTAACCCCCTCCCCCCCAATATTGATGGTCCATGAAACCAGGAGCAGCTGAGGTCATCTCAAGGGAATCTTTACCTTTCCCCCCCTCTCTTAAGTGGATGCATAATAAAATCAAAGACAGACAACACCTCAGTTCCTCCCCACCTGATGCCATCTAATCTCTGCAGCAATAGAAGAACCAGATCCAAGCATCTTACCAGCAGACCATTGGAGCCATGCACGGTGACACAACGAGAGAAGGTGTGATGGATGGACATCTCCTTCACGTAGCTAGGAGGGTAGTAACCCCCCTTCTCATCCACATCTTGAGCCATGTGGAAGTGAATTGGGTAATGTCCCAGCAATTGCTGGCCCATATGCTTCAACTCTACGCCTTCCATGTGGAAAGATTTAAATCCAAGTCCAATCTAGAGAACAAAGAAGGCGAAATGAAAATATGGAACGAAAATCCCTAAACTTGCATCGTTGGGTGGGTTAAAGACACACAGCCACCACACACCACAAAGGGGATCCAGCCCAAATTAAGCCATTTTAAACGCTGAGTTTTTTTTAAAGGAAAAAATTTAAGCAGGGGCTTGGTGCTTCCTAGAAGTCCACAGGAACACCATGGGAAGAAAGTGAGCTCAGGCTGCAATAAAATCCCAATAGAAATTAACTGTAGGATTTCAGAAAGTTTATAGATGAGGCTTCCCCAATATGGTACCCTCCAGATGTGCTGGACTACAGTGCCATCTTCCCCAGCATGAGGGTTGAAGCTGTTAGGATTTATCATCCAGGGCTTCCAAAGGATACCAGACTGGAAGATGGTGATACCAACACTTTGTGTTATATTATATTATCGATACAGAGAAGATCCCCCAACAAAGCAAGCACACAAAAGAAGCTGCAAACCGTACCTTGATGTGACCCCCAAAAGTATCAAAATCAAAGAAGGAGCACAGATGGGCATTATAATTGTAACATCTCTTCTCCATCTCGCCCATCACTAGAATGTTTCGAGTTAACATCCCTACTTCAGCTCGCATGTCAACTCCGTCAATTACCTCTCCCATGTGAAGATAGGTGGCTTTCCCTAGGAGAAAGGATAACATCCAGTGTGTTACAAAAGAGTTAAGATTAATATAAGGAGGGCTTCAATAGAAAAATAGATCAGCATGGCCAGGAACCTGGCTTTAAAGGGTGGGAAGGGTCAGGATGTCTTGTGAAGGAGACAGAAAGAGGCAAGGGAGGAGCATAATCCTCTTCCTTAATATACTGAATCCATTTTCTAAAAAAAAAAAAGCATATGCTGCAAAAAACTTATTTTTTTATGGCTAAATTGTGATGATGATTTACATTCTCATGCTATTACCTATCAGAGTCTTACCAGAGTCTTACCATACAAACATTTTGATTCTATCTCTCTATATACAACTATTCCAACTGGTAACCAGAAGGAATGCACTCATTAAAGAAACGCTGGGGTAACACACATTTTTAAAAACTGTTACATTTGCACGTACAGGTGGTTCTCGCTTAACAATCACTCATTCAGCAACAGTTTGAACCTGCAATGGCACTGAATAAGTGATACTTACAACCAGTCCTCAGAGTTCTGGCCGTTGCAGTGTCTCTGCGGTCACGTGGTTGCCATTTGCGCCCTCTTTGCTGTCTTCCAACAAGCAAACTCAGTGGGAAAACTGGCTGGAGGTTGCAAATGGTGACCACGTGATGTCCTTGCTTAATGATCCATGATAATTCACTTAACGACGGCAATCTGGAGTGCCAGAATTGCCGTTGCTAAGTGGCACGGTCACATGATGTCGCATTTTATGACCATGTCGCTTAGTGACAGTAATTCCAGTCCCAATTGCCATCATTGACTGAGGACTACCTGTACTTTTATTTCAGAAGAGGCCTACAGTTTACACTTGCACAGATTCACACACTCATACACATTCACAAAGCGTAATGAAGCCATATAAACTGAATGAATGAATGAATGATGTCAAAAGTTCAGAAACATCCAAACCAAGGTGTTCTCTCTGGATGATGGTTCTTTGCTCAAATATCCACCATTCTGATCCAGAGAACTGAATACTGAAACATCCACCTGGAAGCGGCAATGTTTTTCTCACTAGTCTCAGCTTTCAGGTGCCACGTGCTTTCTTAGATATCTGCACAGACCTGCTAAGAATGTTAAACGTCGGCAAGAATGTGGAATGTGTAGCAAGAGGTTTCTTTATTCAACACATGCTGGACGCTTGTTTACACAAAGCATTTTTGCTGATTTGACATGATCTGAGATAAGGAAACAACCGCGGGTGGTTTGTGGTAAGTGTTGATAAGTATGTTTTTCTCCTTCAGAAACAGTGATGCCATGTTTATTACTACATCCATTAACTTTAAAGGAATCGACTTGTTTGATGGCAAACATACCCACAGCAAGAGTGAGTTTATTCAGAAGGGATGCCATCTGAGCAGTAGCTAGAAATGTGCACGGTGTCCTGCATTAAATAATCCCACCACATCTATGAGCTGCTTTGGAGGTCCACAAGAAATGGCTGGAGAGAGAAAGATGGTGTGTTTGCATTTCTTCTGGACCTGATTCGTGGCTCTTTAACCACGTCTCTAGCTTCGTTTGCGTTTCCTTGTCCTTAAAGACCAATCGTGTTTATCATTCAAGCCTTCTGCTTAGCTAAGGTTTGCATAAACACTCACATTGTTTTCAATATTCAGATTTCGTGTTGAATAGAATAAGTGACATGCAACTGATTATATATAGAATGACAGTAATGAAGTAGCATGGAGAGATTCTCCATATTCTGTATGTCTTGTAAAATCTGCATCGCTCAGGGCTTAGTGTAGCCTGATGTTTTTTCTTAGAATAAGAGAAAATGGATCCATGATGGGTTATTAGTGATTCTTACACAAAACCTTCTCAGCTTAGATTCCCCATGCAGGGCTCCTGCTTATTAAGATCACCTCTGAAAGAACTGATTAAAGATGTGAATGCAGAAGAAAAAAACAAAAGGGGAAGGAAGCATTTTCACTCCTGAAGGGTTAGGGTTTTCCCTGAAAGAATCAGACCGGAAGGAGAGGGAAGAAAAAAACAGAACAAAATATTAATTTCCTTCCTGAACTTTTTCCCAGACTTCACAAACTTGAGCATCCTGTGGAAAGAAAGTGTTGCAAAGGCCTCCAAGTTTTTGGACTGGTTGTCTCATGAAGTCGGTTGCTCTGACCTGCTCGTGCTGGTCTTTAAGAAAGGAGCAAAAATTTTTGTTACTGATTTATTCAGTAACAGCTGGTGGAAAACACTTCATGTTTTGATTATCTAGTTGCATAGCTTTGATTATCACTATTTTTTGCCTTTAATATGGGGGGGGGCACAATCTCTGCATTTTAAACGTGGTTCATGCCACATTTCTGGGAGAAGAGACATGACCCAGAAGTCACAGGACTCCAAGAAAGGTTTTCCATGAACAAATGCATGAGAAGCCTGCAGTAGCAAGACTCTTATCTACATAATGTTGAGAAACACACATTAAAGACAGGCCAATTTGCATTAGATACAACCAGCCCCTGGGAGCATGGAAGCTGCCAACTGCACAGTACACAATGAGACAAGATCATCTTATCCAGAAGGACAGTAAATCAAGCTCCATATCTGAGGAGGAAGCCTACTACACTGGAGAAGCCTCTGCTTTGAATGCAGAAGTTCCCAAATTCACCTTGGCATTGCCAAGAAAGGGGATCTGTGAAAGATCTGCTGATGTATTTAAACCTTCTGATTGTGCAAAAAACTCTCTACCAGATTTCGCCAATCCCTTGCAGATATGTGAGCTAACTCCCAGAATTCTCAGCCATGGCCAGGCCAGCTGGGGAATTCTGGGAGATGAAAACTGTCCACCTGCAGGGCATTTACTTTAGGAAAGGCAGCACTATACAGACCCTAGTGTGAATATTATAAATAGACTTCCTCGAAACCTTATTCTCGAGCAATTTAGATGAATAACTACGTAATTTTTTTTTAAATGCATGCAAAGGCTTTATGTTAGGAGAACCTGAAAACACAAGCCAGGGCTGGACTACGTTCCCCAGGCTAAAGGCCAAATTTAGCCTTGGAGTGGTATTCCAATAACCATATTCTACAAAGTACTGGTTGGGACAGGACAAAATTAAAGATAGACCTGGTTTGCATTTAATTTGTTAAAATTAAATATCATTCATATGAGAATTCTCCAGTCATGTATTTAATCATTTTCCTCTTCCATCACACTAAAAACAACTTTTTAATATCAGCTTTTGAAGACAATGGGGCGAGGGGGGGGCTATCAAAAAGGCTTTTGTGAAATCCACGTTGCTGTGGAGCCTCAGGCTGGAACATAAATCAGCTTTTTTTTAAAAACAACAACAACAACCTCTGTTAAAAATTATCCTTCTGGAGAAGTGCCATCCTAACATGGAGTTTTCTGAGCCACACGTTCTGAGGAAGTAGGTCATAGTAATCAAAACATTTCAGGTATTTACCTTTATAATAATCACTACTCATTGCTTGCTTTACTTCCTACCTACCCATCTGCATTCGTTACATGATCATAACCTGGTTTCTGAATTAATCCATTTTCACAAGACACTGAATGATAAGCCAACCAAACGAACTAAGTCCTCACACAACACAATCTAACCAAATAGAGCATTTGGGGCAAATGGATCGGCTAAACCTGACCTACTTCAGTGTGTTGTGTGAACACAACTATGGGTGTATTTGAGCTTCAGCCAGCTGTGAAGGACAAAAATGGCATCATTTAAAGCAGATGCAGCAGGGCCCTGGTAAACCAACCCTCCATCTGACTTCAGACATTCCATGCACTTTTTACATGCTGTTAGGATTCCCATGGATTTAACATAAACCTTGGCAGAAATCTGTTGATAATCCATTTTGTGTAGCCCAGTTGAGAGTCAAAGATATCTGCAAAGCCAAACTAGAAACAGCCCTCTATAAAAACCAGGCTGGTCTGATGGATCATTATGCCTGCCAATTTATTCATAGTTTTATCTCTTACATGAAAAGGGCATTGCATCATTTCTGCCCACATATGATTCCCCACCCCTGCCCCCAGATTTGGAAGCAGCTTCACCTCCACATGGTTATAAGTCTAAAGATAATGGCTGGGATTTTAGCTCTTGTTTGATCTCCTGTTCTCAGAACCACCCTTCCTGCTTTCCTTTGGCTGCTTTTGCTCCAATTCAGTCAAGTCCGGATGTAAAGCATCAAAAGCCTTGAATCCTTCACAGAAGGTGGAAAAATCTCGACTCAGAGCTCACCCATGGCAGGAAAACCCAATCTGATTCAGATAGGAAAACTGAAATGTCTCAAATAAGGGAGGCATTTCCCTTCACCCATTTGCCTAGCAGAGGGATTAAAATCTTTACTGGAGATGGACTTCTGAACAGCCACCATTTGTATATGGGCTGGGTAGAAAAAGAAATCATCCTGCATTTTTGATGCCCACTCAGTTCTCATTCAATATTATTTTATTAAAGAGAACTTGCTTTTGAACATGATTTTGCTGTGACATTCTAGCATTTCAGCCCAGCAGTCATTAAAGAAAAGGATACTGAATGTTATTGTGGGACAGGAGTGTGGGGGAAGGAGATTCAGGAAATGCCTCATTCATCAATAACCTGTTTTGCCATTCACATCCCACAAGGACATTCAGATGCTAGAGATGGCTGCTGATATCTGCTCATGGTCACACATGCCCTGGTCACCACCCAGGTGGACTACTGTAATATGCTTTACATGGGGCTGCCCTTGAAGAGTATCCAGAAGCTTCAGCTGGTACAGAATGCAGCGGCATGGACAGTTATGTGTGCTCTAAAGTGGCACACGTTACACCTCTACTCAGCAAGCTGCATTGGTTGCCAGTATGCTTCCAGGTCCAATTCAAGGTGCTGGTTCTGACCTTTAAAGCCCTCATGGCTTGGGGCCGGGTTATTTGAGGGACTGCCTCTTCCCGGTTACATCTGCCAGTCCCATCAGGTCTGGCAGAAGAGGTAGGTTGTGGGTCCCGTCTGCTAAAGAGTTACATCTGACAGGACCTAGGAGATGAGTCTTTTTTGCTATGGCACCCATCCTGTGGAACATCATCATCACCCCCCTGAGGTGAGATTGGCTCCATCTTTGCCCTTAAAACTTGGTTGTGTTGTCAGGCATGCGGGTCACAAGGGAATGGTGATCTGATGAGGTGGCTCCATTGTTCATAATCTGACACTCTCTTTTAGCTTTTTCATAATAATATTAATTTTTGTACTTTTTATATGTTTTTAAAATGGTTTTTTATGGTCTGTTTGTATGCCACACAGAGTCACGTCACATGAAATGGGCAGCCATATAAATATGATAAATATACAAATACATGGTTATAATCCTTTTCTCATTTGCAATTTCTAGGCCCTTCTAGAGTCCTCCAACCTTTTCTTTCTTTCTTTCTTTCTTTCTTTCTTTCTTTCTTTCTTTCTTTCTTTCTTTCTTTCTTTCTTTCTTTCTTTCCTTCTTTCCTTCCTCCCTTCTTTCCTTCTTTCCTTCTTTCCTTCTTTCCTTCCTTCCTTACAGGACTTATATGGCCTCCTATCTTATACAATGACTCTACGCAGCTCACAACTAAAACAGACAATAGAGGACAATAAAGTTCTCTAGTGGGATAATTGCCTATATACTGCTCCACAGTAGAAGTCTACAGCCTTCCAGAGCTCCCAAGGTGCTCTGGGCTGGGCTTTCAATTTCTCTAGGGGATGGCCTGAAGGTGCATATGGGTTGCCTTCACACAACGCCCTTAGCTGGTTTCTTGAATCAATTCATTTTCTGGGTCTGTATAATATTCTGAACCATAAACAAAACAAGCACAACAGGCTGATGCCCCCTCCCCACCACAGAAGTTAAAACTAACCTAACTTAACTTGTGGTGCAAATGCAGCTGCTAGATCATGATCTGATCAGGCGAAGAGTGTTGTGTGAATACAGTCACAGAGGTGTCTTAAATGAGGAGGTGGCGAAGATGCCAGTGTGCAAACCGCCTGGCTCCTTCATTCATGGGGACTTTATTTATTCATCTGCTCATTTAACATGCTTGGGTTAAAAAAAAAAAAAAAGTAACAGGAAGCTGGCATGTTACAAAGTCCAGGCCTTCAGCATCATCTTTACTCCTAAAAGTGCTTTGGGATCTAAGCTTGCCCAGGAGATATTCTTGAGGAAAAAAAAATAGCAGGTAGCTACAACTTAGTGGTTTCATTAGAAGGATGCCCAGGGGAAAAAAAATAAGACAGAGATAGGCTGGGTTGATAGAAATCAACTCGGGGTGGCTGGCAGCTGTTGGCTTTCTGATAAATGCGTGTTCTTAGCCATCCCCATCATGTCTGCTAATTTTTGCAAGGAGATAACCTCCCTCCCATGGCAGCTATTTTATGAGAATGAACAAAACGTGCTCTCCTATGCCAAATGTCTTATCTGTTTTGATGGCTTTATTCAGTTGTATCATTTACGTTAAATTGCCTTAATTTTTAAAGGGTTAAGAGTGGATTTGCTGGAAGGAGAAAGTGTACCCATGATTCTTAATAACCAATTTAATGTTCTTTTCTACTGACAACCAAGATGGACTTGATTCCTCACTGAACCTCTGAAAGGCTGTTGATACCACTAGCTTAAATTGTTCCAAAATAGCTCCCTTTGTTCAGCAAGTATCGTATGCAGAGAATATGAAAATACTGGTGTCTAAGGACATTGGCAAAGGTATTTATTGTACCCAACCATTCAGGAGAAAGCATTAGAAATCAGAGTAATTTTTTATCCTGGACAACAAAACCAACTACAGTCAGATCCATCATGGTTTTAGCTCTGAAGTCACCAGCTCTCCATTGCAAAGCAATCCATGGGAAGAGCGAAGCAGCCAATTCTTGGGGACAAGCAGAAGGAAGGAATTCTTCAAGCACTTCCTACCTCTTCAGCTCCCTCCCCACCATCATTTTCAGATGCATCTGGAACTTAGGAAAGACTTTCAACATTCAGCTTTCTTTCTATTATCTCTGGTTATCTTTGGGGTCACACTCATTTAGTGTGGTTTTTCCAATTATGTAAGTGTTGCTGGGGAAAAGAGAAAGTGGGAGGAAAAAGAAAACAGGACCGTAGATACATTTTCCCTGCAGAGAACTGCCTGCCATCTTTAGTCATGAGACTATGATGCATTTAAAAGCCAGAATAATATTTTTCTTGGCACAAGCCACTCATTTTCTTTCAGCCCTGGCAACCACAAGCCAAAAAGCTATATTTCCTACTGACCCACTTGCATCAGAGTTAACAGGACTCATGATTTAAGAATGATCTGTACCATGGCTGAGGTATGTGCCGATCTGATCTCCCTTTCTCATCCAGTCCAATTTCATTTCAAAGTCATAGACCCATCTATGATCCTACTTAGCACTGATCCACTGAGTTGACCAATCACACAAAGCTCTAGTTAGCTGAAATATGGTTTCGGAGTAAGCTACAATTGGATGGACTCACATATAGCCAGAAGAAAACACATGATAGTTAGCACAATGGAGGAGCCAAACGATAGAGCATCGGTGCTGAAAAGTGTCTTACTCAAATTATCTAAGTAACTTTACATCTATTCTGGAAGGTAGAAGGGATTACCTTTTGCAGGATTTTTGTAAGTATGTGTCTTCAAGTCTGTGTTGACTCCTGGCCATTCCCTGGACAAGTCCCTGCAGTTTTCTTGGCAAGATTTCAGAAGTGGTTTGCCATTGCCTACTTCCTAGGGCTGAAAGGGACTGGCCCAAGGTTGCCCCACTGGCTTTGTGCCTAAGGCAGGACTAGAACTCACATCTCCTGGTTTCTAACCTACTGCCTTAAACACTACACTGTCTCTCTTGCTAAGAGAGCAACTATACCGTTCATTGGCACTGGGTTCTTCTACTCTACCACATTCAGTTCCAGCTTCTTCTCATGGGTTTGATCATAACCTTGTCGTATCACCTGACTGCCTGTGCCCATAATATGCCCAGTGATCACATATGATCATAAATTCCATGTAGATAAGTACACAAATCATTCAATCCCCCCTTTGCCTGCCAGCCCACTTGGTTTCTATGCTAGGCATGGAAGAAAGAAAATTTCTTCCCTCTATACCCCTTATGAGCTGGCACAGCAGAGATAAATCGCTCCCACAACCAATCTGCTTGGTAGAAAACAATTATTTTCTAAAAGACTAGCAGCTTGGTTTTCTACAGCAAACAGAGAAATGCAGGCTACTAGTCTCGTAACAGATTTTTTTTAAAAAAGCAGACTAGCAACTTTTGTGGGCTTACTACATTATAAAATCCGAGTATTTGTTACCATGCAGCATTTCTTAGCTTCTCCCTCTCAATCTCTCCTTGCCCTTTAGTTCAACTGCCACTCATCTTATTTTTATCCCCTTTTTTCTTTTTCAAAACATGTTTGCACATAGCCAAAAAGAAACAGACTTTTTAAGAGTTTTGTATTGGGTAGGGATCAGCTGTGTAGTTCAATATTTAACAGTACGGCTAGCCCTAAAGATACCAACACACCAACACAGGACATTAGCTCTCCTTCCAAAGCAGGAACCATTCAGCCTACCTGCCACTTTGACTTCATTGGGCCTACAAGCTCTGCAGGGCAAGATCTCAAACTCTTCAGCTTGGTACATGGAGTAGTCAGTGCTGGCCACCACGATCTTGTCTCCCACCTTCCATGACTGCATGTTGTCGGCCAGTCTCAGGATTGTACTGTTCACGTTGGTATCCACACGCACGGTAAGCCTGGGTCTCACTGAAAAGCCAGCAATGAAAAGAAAGTGCATAGGGGTAGGAAGTGCTGAAGAACATCTCACATGCTCCTTCCCCAATTCCCCATGGGCCAAACTTGTTTCATACTCATAAAACAAGGACCTTGGAAAGATAAGACAGCTGTGGTCAACCACAGGCTAGATTTGTGTGTCTTCCTCTTATTCAAGAAGCACAATAAATAGCCCCTATGTTGTTGTTATTGACACACAGTCTACCACATAGTTGTGATGGTTATCATCAGCAAGTTGTCGTAATTATTATTATTGCTATTTACACACAAGCTATTTCCATCCAGCTAGTTCTAACTGGATTTGGTACTTTTGACTATCGGATCCTTTCCAAGGATGTAGGATAGCTAAAGCTGTATTTTTAGAAGTTATTTTTATTGTTAGAATAATGAAATAGGAAAAAAGGTCTACATGGGATATTGCATAACACAAAAAGAGACAACTACTAAGCATAAATAAAACATAAATAAAAGGATTACGGAAACACTTTCTAGGAACATGTTCTCCCCTTCCCTTCTGTTTATTTCCCCAACTGCTGGCCATAACTTAGCTATTTATACTTTATATTAAACATTAAAGATGATTGCTAGTGTCAATTTAAATCCTTTCATCTATTACTTTTTCTTGGTCTCCTAACTTTCTCCCTAAAAACCATATTCCAAATATCTACATTTGCCCTGCTGTGTAATGTGTAGCATATACGGGAGTCATTCTTGCTTAAATTTGATTAGACTCTACTGTGGATATATACAGATCGTTGCATATACAGCTGCATATTCTCCAGTTTTGATGTCCCAGCCTGATATCGTAAGATATTGCCATAATCTAATAATCTACCCTTCCAAGTAATGCAACTTTTTGTAACGGAAGAGTTGAGATTCCATCCATTCCTCTTGTGTATGAGCATTTTTCCAGAAGTTCTGGTGTGACACCAAGACACCAACCACTATTGACACCACTATACTTGCTCAGTCTATACTGGAAAGTCTTTACATTTCCCTATTTTTTCTAGTTCTGTCTCACTGACTCTTCCAGCTGCTGCAATGTTAGTTATCCGGACTTGTCTCTTGGTAACCGCAGTCCAGTGTGGCTTAGTACAGGCTAAATGTTCATCAGTTTGTATCAGGAAGTCCCACAGAACTTTAACTTCTTCATTCTCAACCATTTTTCAGTCCTGTGATTCCCTCAACCCTTTGTTAGTAAGTGATAATTCTTATTAAGATTCCATTATTGTTGCTGTTGTTTCTCCTATCCCCTTAATTACATTTAAAAGAGGCCATTCAGGACTTGGCTGCACTATTTCCTCTGAGGGCCAACTATTTTGGCCACTTAGAGCAGACATTTCCTGAGTCAGGGCAACTTGGCCGTCTTTCAGCCATGTCAGTACGTCACTCCGTTCTGTCCCAGTTCATGCAGCTAGAGTTTGCATATAGCCATCATGGAAAACTGTGAGAGGTTGCCCTACCTTCATTCAACCCCTTGACAAAACCCTGAGAAGGCAGAATGGCCTCTAGGAGGACGGTAGTGTATTCAGTGCCTTTCATATACAGTAGAACAAAACCCCCAGAAGAAACTATTTCAGGCAAGTAGAAAACTAGCATCACAGGGAAAAGGCTTGACCATAGTAGCCCTTGATGCCACCTTGGGACCCTCTCATCTTCTGTATCCTTTTAGAGTCAGCCCCCCTATGCTTCATATGTCAAAGCTGAGAGGGCTGCATAAGGACTAGTAACTTGATACAGAGGATGGAAACCTGATAAGTTGGAAATGGAAAGAGTTTGTGTGACAAAAGCTACCGCAGAAACCCAAAAGCTTTAGACTCGTGCAAAGACTGCATTAGTATTTAAGTCTCTGAGGTAAAATTCTGCTGCCTTTACAATATATAGATCAGTAGGAGCAAATTTCAGAATAGCTTCCTCTCAATTCTACTGTGTTCAACTTTCAAGAATGAGTCACCTACCAGGTTGGCCACATAAGAAGCGCACTCTGTAGTTATGACAGCCTCCCTCCGTCTGCTCTGGACCATGGCAAAAAAACCTATAATCATGGCCTTTTTTGAAAAGGACCTCAGTTGCCAGTTTCGTTCCCTCAAGTGTGACTGCCTGGGAGGAGAATCAAAATGCAAACTCAGTAATTGCCAAGCGTGTTATTATCAAGAATAACAGCTAGTACAACAACAGCTGGAACCATAGGCTTAGCAGCACTTCTGAGAAGGAGAAAACAAGCATTTTCTGCTTGGTAACTTATCTAAATTGCCACAGTGCGTTGAGTGAGGAATTCACCTTGAAAGCAGTCCCAAAGCACCATTACGAACACACGAGGCAGATTTCTCATGATCTCCACTGCGTTCCCCGAGTATGAGATCATAATATGAGCCCGGCAAGCAGTTCATGGCTTTGGACCACAGTTTTGGAAAGCACGTTCACTTCTGCATCCTAAGATCGCCTTTAGATGCTTTGGGCTCCAGAATGTCCCAAGCCAAGCTCTTTGTCCCCAAAATGGGCCTTTTTACTGGTAGCCCCCAAATGCCCTTCTGAATGAGGGTGTTTGGCACCAACTTTCTCTCCTTTTCACCTCGACGCAAAGGCCTTCTAACTGCTCCAGGCTCTTTCAGTATATTGAAAGACTGATGATGGTTCCTGCCCCTGGAATGATATCCCCCTCTGGCAGATCAGCATCACCCCCACCTTACTGATTTTCCACAGATTGTTAAACATCTGGCTGTTCTCCCAGACCTTGCTTTAGGATGCATTAGGGGGTCAGTGTTCTGGCTGGTTGTGTTCCCTTTTCTTTGATATATGTTGCTTTCTCTTGGATTCTTTTTTAATTGTAAGCCACCCAGAGTTGCTATGGAACCCGGCAGCCTTGAAATAGGATTATTACATGAAATGAACATTCTAATTCTCCGAGATTTTGCCTTGCGATTTTAATAGGTTGTAAGCCAGTGTTGTCCAAACTTGGCCACTTTAAGACGAGTGGACGTCAACTC